GGGGGGGGGGGGGCATTCAATCCCCATCATCTAGCCAACCTTAGGTGGCATCCAATCAACCCCATGAAGAAGTGAAGCCTCGCTGTAGCAAGCACGCACAGCAGCCACGAACAAAGTGCTCTTCATGAAGCGCGTATTCCCATCATATGGCTCCCCATAATGCGTCAACGAATGGATGTTCGCCACGGGCAATGTATCTGCATGCAGAACAAAGGAGGAGGAAGGAAAAGACGCAGAAATATGTTCAGACTCCAGAGTCTTCAGACATGGATCACTGTAGCTGACGGCATTCTCAAACGAGGACTTTGTCACTTATTATGGATGTAAGGATGTAATCACGGTCAGATGCATCCAGGCCGGACCGTAAATGCGGTCAGATACATTTAAGACACAGCTAGTGTGAGTACACACCCTGAGATGTGCACGACATAGAGTGCCTTACTATGGGCTGTAGTTTCAGGGAGGTTTGTTTTCTTTTTTTTTTTTCCCTTTTTTTTCCCCGATGAAAGGAGAAGAGTGTGGTGGCTGAAGTGGGTTTAAACTTTAAAACCTTTAAACGGGTTTGAAGGAGGTCCTCCTTCAACTTATTCTCAAACAAAAAAATGAGGAATTGACAAAAAAAAGTGTAGACTATTGAACATTCACTGTCATTCAGAGAATTTCAGACTATCGCCCTTCTGGTAATCCTCACCCAGCTGCCCCACCAACACCTGCACGAGGGGGAAGGGGGGAAATGCAAAATGGTGAGTTTGTGCACCCTCACAAGAGTCACAACACCTTTTTTTTTATCTAGGTGCTCATCTAGATCAGTATCGCAATGACATCGCTGGAGAATGCGGAACTGGTAACACCGACAGACGAAAGAGCGGCGCGGGTGCACCTTTTTCTTTTTTGCCTGGCACTGCCAGCCATTTCAGTCTGGTATGCCGAGTTCCAAAGGCCACGGTGCGTTTATGGCCCCGTTGGAACAGAATTGCTGCTGGTTGGTGATCTTCATTGTCTGTGGGCCTGGATACATTGCCAAACAACCTGGTCTGCTCTCAGGATCCGGCCCCAAATAGAAGTCAGCCCTATTTCCCCAGGTTCGTATTCAGAGCTGTAGTTCAGATCATCCGGATGTGTGTGGGGCTGCAAAGCACAGCCTTTATCACAGGCTGAGGAAGGACGCCTTTGTCCACCGAGTATGAACTTGACATTCAATATGAGCTGAGCTCAACCTTAGAAAACGTGAACAGGTGACCTACATCCTTCTGCACCGTGCAAATCTCTCTCTCTCTCTCTCTCTCTCTCTCTCTCTCTCTCTCTCTCTCTCTCTCTCTCTCTCT